CGCCGCGTCGGCGGCAACACCTGCATCGAGGGATGCTGGTGCCACCTCTCTGCTCTCTTTCCCTTGCTCGCCCATCTCTGTCACTTGTGGTGACGGAGCGTCGTCCAGGAGTGCCGGCGAATTTCTGGGGGGCGCACCCTGGGCCCGGTAAAGGCGGGTAGACACTCCTAAGTACCCCGCGTGACGGGCATGGCCCCTTCTCTTACCTTTCCTAGCCGATGCACCCTCGTTTGGAGGGGCGGTGGATAGAACGGGGCTGTGAGTGGACCGCGCACCTCTGTTCCCGATTCCTGCCGTCGTCCCCCGCGGGACCGATGCCATCGGGAGATGGCAAGTTTCGGGGCGGGGCGCGTGCGTGAAGTCCGCTCACTTCCGTATTTTATCATTTTCTCCGTAGCTGCTGCAGGACACCGTATTGGCTCAGTTATTGGCTGAAGGGCAACGGTGCGCTGCTGGCTGCGCAGCGCCCTGGAAACAGGAGTCCTGCTCCTCGCCTCTACCTACGGACCCCGTATAGGAACGGCCCCATCGGCTGTCTCCCTATACGCGCACTTCTCATCCCCCATGTCCCCGTTCCGCATCCCCCTCCTGCCCTTCCACAGCTATTCAATGCGAGTATCAAGTGGACTTTTCTCCCCTCCTCCCCATGTTCCGCATCTTCTCCATGCCCCATCCACAGTAACTCAAGGCGAATATAGCGTGCAGTGTTGGTCCCGCCCCCTCCGCGCGTTGTTTTTTCAACTGGGACTTCAGCATGTGATGCTTCGCGCGAGTTTCTCTATTCGTCGGCCACGCGCAGAGGGGGGCATAATCTTAGAAGAACCCTTTCTTCTTAGAAGGCGCGGGCCTTGTCTGCAGATGGAAGGCCCGCGCCTTCTAGAAGCAGCCTCCTTCTAAGAAGCCTTCTCTCTCCCCAAATCCCCTTGCGCGCGACGCCCAAGTAGTGCGTTTCGAGCTTTCCGGAGCGGCGTCCCTGGTGTGGCGTTGGCCTCGCTTCAGCATCGGCGCGTCGCTCCCGTCGTTCAAAATGGCGTTTCCGCCTCAGCGCAGGCCACACTTTTTGATCAGATGTTTTCGTTGTCGTCGCCCCCCCCCGCCTTGCCCCTCCTCCACCCTCCCCTGATGGTTTGGCCATTGAGTTTATCATGCTGCTGCTCCTCCTCCATATTCATCAGCCTGCTCATTTTTCTCTTGGCCATCCGCCACCTCCTCTTCCTCCTCTTCCTCCTCTTCCTCCTCCTTCTCCTCGTCCCCCTCCTCATTCCCCTCCTCTTTCAACGTGCACAGCCCCCTGTCGGGTTGCAAATCATACGATGGGGTCAATTGGGGGACCAATGTCCGCTAGGACACCCGCCGGCGAATGGAAAAACGTCAGATCGATGGGACTGGGCGGGTGCGAGGGGTAAGGTGTCAGATCTGTCCCGAGCACACCCTGTTCACCTTCCGCCCCCCCTCTTCCGTCTCCCCCTGCCCCCGCATTCGGGGGCCCTGCCGTGGCCACTCGGTGGATGGCGCCCGAGCTGACCGAGCCCAAAACCGCATGATTTCTTCCAGGAGCTATTCGGGGCGATTTTCCTCTAACCCCGCCTCTGGTCATGGGCGAAAAACATAGCGCAGCCGAGGCCTCGCGGGCCGGGCCCCTGGGCCGCGATCCCGCGGATGCGGAGCGTTTTTCGCGGATGCCCCGCGCGGAACGTACCTGTGCGACCGCGTAGCCGCGGGATCGCCCGCCGGAATGTAGACCGCGAGGGCGCGGATACGGATATGTGCGTCGCCCGTGATCTGTTCCTACCCTTAACTCGGGCACGTCCCTCTTCAGGAGGAGTATCCACGAAAAGTCAAACAATAGCCTCGGAACGATTTTCCGTGCTCTGTTCGACTATGTTGTAAGTCTGTTGGACTATTGTGTATTTTCATTCTACAGATCCGCCTGTAGGAGGACATGCCCGACCCAAACCCTGCCCCGCCTTCGCGCCCCCCCGACCGTCGTGTTTTTGTGTTTTTCTCCATAGACCGAAATCGAGCAACGATTTGGGGGGGGCAGGAAACTCTTCAGGGCGCACTTGCATGCGCCTCCTGGCCTCTGAGCCTCGTGGCTTCCCTGTCGGCCTTGCGCTTCGCCTCCTTGGGTGGCTGGTTTGCGGCAATCGTCTGTGTTTCGCAAGCCCGGGGCTGCTTCACAGCGGTCCTCTACCTTTTCCTCCTTCGGTTGGTTGGTTGGCTTGGCGCGGCCGGGTTGCGGCGCCTTGGGGCTCTGTGCGGCGCTCCTCGCCGCCGATTCGCCGCAGCTCCTCGTCGCCAATTCGCTGCCGCTCCTCGTCGCTATCCATTGTCTCGCCGGGCGGCAGCGCCGCAACAACCCCAGGGGGAGCTTTGCCCTGGCGCGCGTGGCCCGTCTGCGCCGCCACTGCCCTGAGGGGTGCTGCCCTGCAAGGCGGGGCGCCCCCGGAGATCAGCGTGAAACCCACCCTCGTCCTCCCACGTGTGCTTTGCATGTGGGTTCTGGGTCGACGCTCCTGCCAGAGGGGCCTGTGGAGAAGCCCAGTCGGGCCAGTCTGGCGGCGCCTGGTCTCTCGCTGGCCCAGCGGCGGCGCGGGAGCGTCGACCCGCGCTGGGATGGGGAAGCCCGCGGAGACTTTCAGAGCCCCAAATCGAGCGGCAATTTTGCGGGGGGCAGGGAGATCTCCAGGGCGCACTCGCATGCGCCTCCTGGCCTCTGAGCCTCTTTGCTTCCCTGTCGGCCTTGCGCTTTGCCTCCTTGGGCGGCTGGTTTGCGGCGGGCATCTGCGTTCTCGCGAGCCGAGGGGTGCTTCGCGGCTGGTGGTCCTCTGCCCCTTCCTCCCTCGGTTGGTTGCTTGGCTTGGCGCGGCTGGGTTCCGGCGCCGCGGGGCTCTCTGCGGCGCTCCTCGCCGCCGATTCGCCGCAGCTCCTCGTCGCCAATTCGCTGCCGCTCCTCGTCGCTATCCCTCGTCCCTTGGGAGGCCCGCGGAGATTCTCCCACGGCGCGAGCATCGCCGGGCCTCTGCTCGCCGCACGGGCGGTGCGCCCCGCCTGTCGCGGGCGGCCCTCGGGGGGCGGTCACCACCCACCAAACCGCCCCAACTCAACCCGAAGGCTCAGAGTTACCCTCGATTTCCAGTGGGGGGGGGGGGTCGGGAAACATCGGAGAAACGCATGTGGAACCCTTACCCCCCCCCCAACCCGAAATTCGGGTCTTCGGGTTGGGTTGGGGTGGTCTGGTAGGTAGTCAGGCGGGTGGGCCCCCGCTGGCGCGGGTCGGCTCGTTGCCGCGGCGGGGCGTCTCCCGGGAGCCTCCGCCCCCCCCGAGCGTCCGCGCGCGGGGGCGGGGGTCGCCTCGGGACGTCGTTGGTTTTTTGGGGTGCCCCCCCTTTGCGTTTCCTTTCGGCGGGGAGAAGCTCCGCCCCCTCCTCCTCCTCCTCCTCCTCCTCCTCCTCCTCCTCCTCCTCCTCCTCCTCGTACTCTTCGTTTGATAGTCCAGTCGTAAGTGTCGTCGTCGGCGTCGTCGTCGTGAATGGGGGGGGCGGGAGGCTTCTTAGAAGTAGCCTGCTTCTCAGAAGGCGCGGGCCTCGTGTGCATATGTATGAGGCCAGCGCCTTCCAAGAAGCGGCCTCCCTCTTAGAAGCTTTCCCCCTCTCTCTACCCAATGCGCACCGCCAATCTTAGCCCCTAGGCGAAGGGGCTGATGTTCTTGGCCCACGTTCGTGCTGCCATGTGGGCGACAGAAATTCGAATTCGAGAGTGCGGACGTCCGCGCGCAAGTTTCCCGCGTAGGACCGCGCGTGAGCACTCCTCTTCTCCACGCGTAAATTTCCCGCGCAAGTGGCGGCGTAAGGTCGCTATGTTGTCCCGCGCTCTGTCGGACACAGGTGTAACATCGAGGTCGGTTCGGGGAGGGTGGTGGCTGTCTTCGTGTCCGGTGGCTGCTCCTGCGCATCCTGGGGGAGGGTGCCCTCGAACGTTCGTCGGCTTTGCCGGCGGAGGGTGTCATGCTCCTGAGTGGTGCTCTTCTGTCCCGGGTCCAGCCGCGCGACATCGTTTTCACCGCTCGCGCTGCGCGCAGCTGCGTGGGGTTGGGTCCTCCTGTCAGCTGGTATTCTCCACCCACCAAACCACCCCAACCCAACCCGAAGGCCCAAATTTATCCTCGATTTCCAGTGGGGGGGGGGTCGGGAACCATCGAAAAAACACGTGTGGAACCCTTACCCCCCCCAACCCGAAATTCGGGTCTTCGGGTTGGGTTGGGGTGGTCTGGGAGGTAGTCAGGTATGGCGCCCCCTGCCCACTCAAGGTATCGGGAGGTCCGCGCGACGCTCTCCTCCTCCATACCCTTCTCTGCGTCCCCCTCCTCGTCTTCCTCCATACCCCTCCTCTTTCCTCTTTCCCCATACCATCTCACTCCTCCTACACTTCACCCTTTTGCTCCCCCCTCGCCCCCTGTGTTCCTCCCACTTTTCGCTCCCTTCCCTCACTTTTCTCTCTCCCCTCCTCCTTCCCCCCCCCTCTCGAACTCCTTGCAGTCCTTGCAGTCTGACTTGCAGTGGACGCGTCGGCCACCGCCACTGTCGCTGTCGCCGTCACTCAGGTTGGTGGCCCTCACGAGGGGTTTGCGGCGGCGGCAGTGACAGTGCCGAAACGCGCCTGATGCTCTGGGGGGGGGAGGCCTGTGCTCAGGGGAGGCTGCATCGCCGCGCAACGATGTGCTGTGAACCAAGCCTGCAGGAAGGGCCCTTCCCATGTTTCTGTGTACTTCAGCTTTGGCCTCGGCTTCAGCTGTGGGTGCACCGTGAAGCGCCTTCAGGCCAGCTCACCCGACTCGGTCTCTCGCTCACTTGGCTGACCCCCTGCCCTTCCCTCCGACATACTCCCCGCTCCTCATTTGCCTCCCCCCCCCCTCTCTTCCACCCTCCTCCGCGTCCACCTCGTTCACCTCCTCTCCCATCTCCCCCTCCTCCCCTCTCAGACGCCCCCCTGCCGCCCAGGCCTCTGGGCGACAAACCCACCTGGCCCGTGGATTGATCCGGCAGCGGCCGCGCCCGCCACGGCTTAGCGGTGAGGAGGAGGAGGAGGAGGCGGAGGAGGAGGAGGAAGAGGAGGAGGAGGAGGACGAGGAGGAGGAGGAGGAGGAGGAGGAGGAGCAGGAGTAGGAGGAGGAGGGGGAGGGGGAGGAGGAGGAGGAGGAGGAGGAGGAGGAGGAGGAGGAGGAGGAGGAGGAGGAGGAGGAGGAGGAGGAGGAGGAGGAGGAGGGGCAGCAGATGGGGGAGAAATTGCAAGGGAGAGAATGATCAGCAGAAGCAAGAGCAGTTCGCGACAGGAGGAGGAGGAGGAGGAGGAGGAGGAGGAGGAGGGTAGACGGATAGACGCCAGCTGAGGCGGCCGCCCGAGTCGGTGCGGTTGCTCGCTTGTCCGCCGCAGGCCGCGTGGCAGTTGCTGCCGGTCAACCGAGCAGCACTGTGGCCCATCACCAGGCCCTCACACCATGGGCTCCCGCGGGACCCAGTGACGATGGCCGCCAGCACTCCTGGACGGGCCAGGCCAGCCGCTTGGTCCGTGAAGACGCCCACCAGCCACGCGAGGAGCCCCGTGACGCCGATGGGCAACACGACCGAGTCAAGTCCAGGTAATTACCATCGGAGGTTGGGGGGTGAGATCGCAGTGGAACGGAGACCCCCAGCAAGGAAATCGTTTTGTTTCGTTCGTGTCGTGCGTGCGGGCGAGGCGAAGCTGCGTGGGCGCGCAAGAGGAATGAACCCGCCGTTGCTAGGGTAATGATTCTCCCCCTCCCTCCCGCCCGTCTGGCGGTGGCTCGCGGTGTCCCGTGGTGTCCCGTGGTGTCCCGTGGGCGAAGTCAAGACATATGATTCTCCCCCTCCCGCCCGTCCGTCGGTGGCTCGCGGTGTCCCGTGGTGTCCTGTGGTGTCCGCCGTTGCTAGGGCGAAGTCAAGATATATGATTCTCCCCGCCCACCCGTCCGTCCGTCCGTCCGTCCGTCCGGCGGTGGCTCGCGGTTTCCCGCGGTGTCCCGTGGTGTCCCGTGGTGTCCCAAAAAGTGAGATCGATAGTGAGATCGATACTGAGGTCGATGCTGAGATCGATGCGGTGCCCCGAGGTGTCCCGTGGTGTCCCAAACAGTGAGATCGATAGTGCGATCGACAGGTGTCCCGTGGTGGCCCGTGGTGGCCCGCTGAGTGAGATCGATAGTGAGATCGATCGAGTCAGATGTTGGTTCCCCTCCCCCTCCCCACCCCCACAGCCTCCTTCTCACCCGAAGGGTGGCCGTACAGGCAGCCGTGGAAGCACGTCAGGCCCTCCGAGGCTGTGCTGGTCGATGCCCCCGCACGCTGGCCCCCCCTCCCGCGTGCACGACCCTCGGCAGCTCCGGGCGCGAGCGCTGCGCGCGAGGGCGGCCTCCACGGGCCTGGCTCGGCACGAGGCCGCCGCCGCGCCCGCCGCCGCCGGCTCCGCACCCGCGGCAGCAGCGCCGCCGCCCGCAGGAGCCGCCGCCGCCGCCGCGCCCGGCGCGCCGCCGAGCCGTCCGGGCCTCGGGCCCGGGCCGGCCGAGGCAGGGCCTGCGCTTGGCATCGCTCGGGCGCGTGCATTTTTCCTCCGGCGAGGACCATCCTGGGCAGTCGAAGGCCAGACTGTCAGACTGGATTGGGCCCCAAGGGCCAATCCGGCCTGGCCACGTTGGAGGGTTTGGGTCATTCGCCAGGCCGGAGTCGCGTGGGCTCCCTCGCCAGATGGCCCTCGTTTGCCAGATTGGGCCTGCCAGATTGGCGCCAGATTGGCTTCGACTACCCAGCAATCGAGGAGCATCCTTGATCACTTGGCGAAAAAAACACGCACGAGACCGAAACAAAAAGCACAGGGAGTGGACGTCCGAGCGAGGGCGAGTGTGGGCCCTCGCGCCGACCCGGGCCACCCTCGGCGGCCGTGTATGGACGCGGCGCTCTCCTCTTCGCCGCGGCGTCGTGCCGGGTCGCGCCGCCTCCTGCTCCACCGCCTCCTCCTCCTCCTCCTCCTCCTCCTTCCCTCCTCCTCCGCCTCCTCCGCCTCCTCCTCCTCCGCCTCCTCCTCCTCCTCTTCCTCCTCCTCCTCTTCCTTCTCCTCCTCCTCCTCCTTTCACCAGCATGGAACATATCCCTATCCCTATGCAGGGCATCTCCTCATCACGATGCCAATCTTAGGGATTCCCTTATTTTTTGAGGGCGAATCCCTAAGATCGTCATCGCCTTTTTGGCGTGCCAATCTTAGGGATAGGGATACGTTCGAGGCTGGTAATCCTCCTCCTTCGCCTCCGTCACCCCCTCACCCCCTCACCAGTTTCATCATCCTCTCACTCCCTCACTCCATCATCACTCCTCCGCCTCTCCCATCCTCCGCCGCATGGGCGCGGCGCGGGCGCACTCGATGTCGCAGTGTGGGGTCAGGGGCCAACCCGAGCGGGCGCGGGCAGCATCGCCGCTGGGCGCGGCGATGGTCGTGACAGCGACGGGTGTCCACGGTGTGCGGTCCTCTGCATGGCGCCCCGCCGCGCGTTCCCCTACTGGCCTCCCCAGCGAGTTGCCTCTGCCGCTTGTGTGATCCACAAGTGTGGCATCGGGAAACGCTGAGAAGGAGGAAGGGATGAATACAGGGGAGGCGAAGGGGGAGGAGGAGGGGCACGGGGGGCGAGGAGGGGCAGAGTAACCCCTGGATGCTACAGCGCCACTGCAGTCTACGTTCCTGCACCAGGTTCCCTCTTTCTTGGTCCCCGGACGCATTCTTCTGCGACTGCGGGAAGCACCCTTTGAAAAACAAGCGTCCCGTGGGGGTGTCATTCGGGCGACTGCCACGTTGTGAAGCAGAACTGCGTTGCCTCGTTCTGGCCACCACGCAGTCGTTGGGATATGGTCGCAGCCGCGCGTAAGGAGTGAGAGTCGTGGCTGTGTGGCACAAGTTTCAGCACCAGTGGCCACATGCCAGAAGAAGTCCCACGCGAGAGTCCCACGTTTCCACGATTCGACAGACAGTGGCTGCGGGCAGCTTAAAATACGACTGTGCGCGTCGCTGAAACGGCAGCCGCGTTTGGGAAACGACCCGCTCTCCATCGTGTGAGCGTGGAAAAGTGTTGCAACAAATGTGAGGAGCGTTAAGGCGAGAGCCACACTGTGAAATGAATTCGCCTGCAATCCTTGTAGGTTCTGGTGACTTTTGAGACGATTGAGCGCAGCGCTAGGGCAAGAACCAAAGGTTTGAAAGCGACTCGCCCTACACGATGTGCATCTGTTTGAAGCTTTCAAGAAGAATATGCGCGCGCTAGAACGAATCCCAGGCGCCTTCCATCTTCGTTGTGCATGTTTGAAGGTCCACGTTTTGGGATGATTGGCGATGATAAAATGTCAAGCCTGGCGCCCAGCCAACCCTGCCGGTACGCTTCGTGGTGCGATGATAATGTTTCATTGTTTAGGCAATTGGGTGCAAAAGCAGGCTGGCGAAGCAGGTGGAAGGAAGAGAAGGGTGATGGGAAGGACGATGATAATAACACTACGGGGAGAGGAATAGGAGGAGTATTAGGGCGAGCACAAAGACGAGGATGGTATTGATGATGGGGTGAAGGATAGGGAAGGGAAGGGTTCAGCATTCAGCATGTGGCGAGTCCCGCGTGGGGGGGGACAGGTTCCAAAAGAGAGAGAGAGAGAGAGACGACGACGACAACGAACGAAGACGAAGACGACGACGACGAGGCGACGGCAGGACGATGAAACAGGCAGCGATTCGCCTGCGTTCTCAGGCGTCGGAGCCGCAACAGTAGAAACAGAGCAATGACTATTGCATCGTACAAGCGTCGGGTTCATGAATTCAGCGACACACGAAGCTCATCGCGGCTGGTTTTGCCGCCACAGCTGGCGATCGAGACGTATGATATATTAGTATGGGCATGGTCAGGTACGGGGGATCTATGTCTTTAGGAGCCCCGTGAACATGGAAAGCATCGAACAATTGCGGGCACGGGATATTCACACGCCCCAGATCTTGATATACACGGGGTCCCGGCCATTGATCGCACGTGAAAGTATACGCATCGTTGTATCAGCCTTTGCACTTTGTGGGCGTGCCTGTTACAACTTTGGGCGCTGGTCGCACTATAGTGCCCACAAGCTCGGCAGACAACGTATTGTCCGCATGCTCTGAGCACGTGGCCACAGCTCTCAGTGGTTTGACATTCGGCCCGCGAGAGAGCGAACTTATCGTTGCTGGAGACTAACACGGGTGCCACACAGGAGGGAAAATAAACACACAGGCACGATTGATCGTCGATTCACCAGAAAATATGGGAAACTATGGGAAGTGGGGGGGGGGAAAACAAAACCCCAGAAAGTGTGGGAACATATGGGGAATCCTGTTGTTGGTGTGTACTTATTTGTGTGTCCCAGGGCCCCTTCATATGCACCCAAACCTCGGAGTTCACGTGCCCCAGGCCACTCGGTGGCCACTCGCCTTGGAGGTGGCCGAAAAATCACTGGCCCAGAAGCAGGGAACGCTCTGGGAAGGAAAGGCTAGGGAAGGGGAGGTGGGGGGGAGAAGGGGGGGAGGAGAAGGGAAGGGGCAGGGTGGGGAGGTATGCGTTTCGGCGCCGTGCGAGGGGGGGAAGTGAGAAGGAGAAGGCCTTCTCAGAAGGCCGCGGGACTTCTCAGAAGCCCTCGCGCCTTCCGAAGAAGTGTTCTGTGTCTTCGGGGAAGACTCAGAAGTTCTCAGAAGGCCCAGGGACTTCCGAGCCTTCTGAGACGGCCCGCCCCTTCTGATTTTCCCCCTTCGCCTGCCGCCGAGAAGGGAAGGGGCAGGGCGGGGACGAGTAGGTTGTGAATTCGGATCCAACTCGCGGAAAATCCGCCGTTGCACCGCTCAGTTAGGCCAGGTTCGGGTGGACTGCAGCTGGGGGGCAGCCAAGCGAGCGCACCTGCACGCAGCATAGCCGAGGGCTGAGGTGAAGAAGCTCCTTCGTTGGGCGAGCGGGCGAGTAGGCCGATCGGACGAGATCTGGCGCCACGGCGCTTCAGACGTTCAAGCACACGACCGCGTCGCGCCATCGCTTGCGCGTGTCGCGGGCGTGCCTTGTCGGGGGCCAGGCGAAGGGCACATAGGTGGTCCCGGAGTGGGCCCACGTATGCTGCCGTGCCGCGCGCTGACAACAGTAGACAAACAGACCATTCGCCTCCATCCCCCACGGCGAAGATCGATGATTTTTCGAGGCTGTCCAGACATTGCTGGCACCGAGGGTTTTTTAACTGTGTTCATAGGTTTTCAAAGTTTTCGCCTGGTCGCCGCTTCGTCGCCACTTCGTGCGTGTTGGCTGGGACTTCCCGGTTTTTCGATCGGTCGCCGCCTCGTCACCGCCTCGTGTGCAGGCTGCTTTTTCTGGGCGCCCGCCAGGTCGCCGCAGGGTGTTCGCCCAGTCGCTTCCCGTCGCCGCTTCTTCGCCACTTCGTGTTTCTCGTTCCACCCCATGGATTGTACCACGTACCTTGTGGTGCAATCTTCGTGGTGCAACCTGCAAGACTTGTCAAACATAAATCGACGTTTGTTTCGGCGATTGCGCGATCGGCGCTACTTCAATGCTTGCGCGAGACGTGTGGCCCACGCGCAGGGGTTCTCAAAATTCGGCAGTGCCCCCGCAGCATTGAACGCATTTTCTGACAAGTGCCCGAACTACCGGGCGCTTTGATGTCGAACTGTGTTTTAAATTGTTGTCGCTTCGCGAATCCCCACCAGCCCATCCAGAAACGATGCCCAGAGGAATTGCCTCGATCAGAGAAGTGGGCAGCACACAGAGGAAGCCATTATGAGACATCTTGGGATATCTTGAGCCATCTTGGAGGTCATTTTGGGCTCTCCCAGACGCTCTTGGAGTCATCTTAATCCGTGCCCCCCCCCAAGAGGCCTCCATGTGGCTAAAACCTGTGTAGAATCAATGATTAGGCATTCTCGCCGAGGCCTCTTGGAGCATCTTGGGTGCATCTGGGGGGGCTCTTGGGGCCTCTTGGGGGTCTCTTGGGGGCCTCCGGGGGGCCTCTTGGGGGCCTCTTGGGGCCATTTTGGGGCCATCTTGGGACCTCTTGGGGCTTCCTGGGCGCTTCTTGGGGCCATCTTGGAGGAGATCGATCAAACAAGAGGGGGGGGTTAATTAGCGCCCCCCCTCGGAAGCCCCTAAAATCGCCTCTTGGACCCCTCTTGGAACGCTCTTGGAGTGCTCTTGGGCGCTCTTGGGGCCGTCTTGGGGCTCTTTTGGGGCTCTCTTGGGGCCCTCTTGGGCCATCTTGGAACCATCTCCAGGCCTCGGATGGCCATCGGAAGCGAAAAGGCGAGAAAGCAAAAATCATTGATTTTCCTTAGGTTTTGGGACGATTTTGGCCTCTTCGGGGCCTCCTTGGGGAGCTGTTTGGCCACTTGGAGTTATCTTGGGGCCGTCTTTGGGCTTCTTGGAACCATCTTAGGAGCCATCTCGAGCGATCTTGCGCTATCTTGAGCCATCTTGGAGCTCATCTTGGGTTCTCTGAGGCGCTCTTGGAGCCGTCTTGGGCCATCTGGGACGCTCTAACTACCCGCGGCCCCCCCCGTCCAGGTCCAGGGGAGGGGGTAGGGGGAGGGGTAAACCCCTCCCCAAGGGGGAAGAGGGAGGGGTGGAAGAGGATCTGTTCTAGACCACCTACGCCCAGAGGGCTGGTGGGATTATGTTTGACGAGGCTTGTAAGATTGCGCGAAAGAGATGCCAGCACCAAGGAGACGCACCGAAGAGTGCAAGCACCCACTGCTAGGGGGTCTACGTTGGCAAGCGTACACTGGCCACAGTGGTGGGCCTCCGGAGACCTCCAGAGGAGAAGAGAGGATTGACCGTTGATGGCGCCTCAACCGCCGTCCACCCGAAGCAAGGCACCAGCTGATACAGTCGGACCGAGGTGTAAGATCGAGGTCGGTTCGGGGAGGGAGGGTACCCTAATGTTCTTCGTGCTTGTTGGATGTTCTTGTGCATCCTGACGAGGGCATCCTGCGATGTTCTGTATGTTCTGGGCGACGGCGGGTCACATGTTCTGGAGGGATATTATTCTGTCCTAGGTCCGACTGCACTGTACTTTTTAAGATGGTGCGCGGGCATCCATAGCGGAGGCGGGCGCGTTCCCCGGAGAGACGTCCAGAGTGGAGAAGGACACCTGGAGAATCGAGGTCCGGACATCCCTTTCGGGGGGTGCGTGATTCATTGGTCTATCATGCCGTTCCAGGGGTTCCAGTAGATCAAGTAAGAGCATATAATGTTTCCTCACCCCTATGCCCCCCGTACCGCTCATCCCGCTCCGTGGACGCTATCGAGGGCGCTGGGAAGCGGCGCCCACACGGCCCGCGACGACGCTGGGCCTACAAGATCGTGCACCCGCGACGAGACTACAGTCCCAACACCGCCCTCCGAAGGCAGTGGCTCACCATTTCGGCGCCGGCCCTGTCCTATCCTCCCTCTCCTTCTCCCCCTCCTCCTCCTTCTCCTCCTCCTCCTCCTCCCCCTCCTCCTCCTTCTCCTCCTCCTTCTCCTCCTCCTCCTCTTCCTCCTCCTCCTCCTCCCCCTCCTCCTCCTTCTCCTCCTCCTTCTCCTCCTTCTCTTCCTCCTCCTCCTAGCCCCTCCTCCTCCACCTCCTCCTCCTCCTCCTCTTCCTCCTCCTCCTCCTCCTCCTCCTCCTCCTCCTCCTCCTCCTCCTCCTCCCCCTACTCCTCCCCAATGTGTTCTGATCTTCCGAGGAGCCAGACGAGCGCCGTCCGCGGCGTGTCGCCCACACTGGTTCTGCTCCCCCGCGGCAGTCGGCGCACGTGGCCCCAGGCCCTGCCCTCGCCCCCCCCCCGTCCATGAACCCCGCCCACCAGAGGGACCCTGGGACACCATCCGGGCAAACAGCAGGCAGGGGGGCAACAGGCCCAGGCCCCCTCGAGTCATGCGGGAGATTTCTCGCCATTCTCGGCCCCTGGAGGCACTGGCCGGGCCCCGGGGCCGTCAAACAGCGGCTCAGGACGAGAAGCCAGTCCCAGGGAAGGGGTCCAGACCTCCAGGGGGGTCGACGCCATGAAGAAAAATCATGACGTCGGGGGCCTGGGGACGTGGCGGGATGGAGGGATGCAGGACAGCGGCCCTACAGTGAGCCCGAGCCTGCACAGGAAGGATGGGTAGCCTTCCCAAGGCTACCCTTGCATCCTTGCCTCCTCGGTTCATCCTTGGCAGCTTTCGCTGGCCAGCCTCGCTCGCAAGACGTTCGCGTGGGCCTCCGAGGCCCTGTGTATCCTTGCCGCGCATCCTCATGATACGGGTCGACTGTGCAAGGTCTCCAAGAGGTGACGAAGGGTGTCCGTTTTGCGAACCCTGGGGTTACTGCACCCCGTAAGCCAGCACCCGCATGACACTCAAGCAGTGGCGAAGCGTCCTGGCTCGCCTATAGCCCTACCAAACAATGTTCTGAGAACCTTTTGTGGTTTCCACGAACTGTTCTGAGAACATTTCTGGCAGAGCCTGCCTTGCTTGAACACGTCGGGTCTATGCTCTAAGAATATGATTGTTGTTCTTAGAACGTGTCTGGGTTCTAAGAACGCTTCGTGGTAGACTATAGGAATGCCGGGACGGCCAGCCCCTGCTCAAGACGCTCCACTCGGGAACGGTGCGGCCGCCTCGCGCGTTAGGGCGCGCGCGGCACGCGGGGCAAAGGCACCCGCGGGCCTCGCGCGCCGCCTCGCCTCGGCAGCCCGGGAGCCGCCTCGGCAGCCCAGGAGAGTCTCCGCGCCGCGCGCGCTCCTCCGGCAGTCCTGTGGCAGGCCGAGCAGCGGCGAAGCTCGGGCCGGACGAAAGGGGGGGACTGGGAAAGGGGGGGTTACGAAATTTGCTGCATGCAGCTGGTTTCGGCCTCGTCGAGGGGCCCAGTCCTCGAGACATAGCCGCCTCCGGGGCCCAGCTACGTGAGCTGATTCACAACCCCCCCCCCCTTTGCTATCCCCCCCTTTCGCCCGACCCGAGAAGCGTCCTGGCTCGCCTACAGCCCTACCCAGCAATGTTCTGAGAACCTTTTGTGGCTTCCAGGAAAAATGCTCTCAGAACATTTCTGGCGGAGCCTGTCTTGTTGTATCACGTCGGGCTACTGTTCTAAGAGCAGTGTTTTTGCTCTTAGAACTTTTCTGGGTTCTAAGAACAGTTCGTGGTATGACAATGGGAATGCCGGGACGGTCGGTCCCTGCTCAAGGCAGGCGGTTGATCGACCCCCATCCCCCGAGTTCCGCCCGAGGTTGGGATGACTCTCGGGTAGAACCCCTGGGGGGTCTATTCGGACGCACCCCGAGCGAGGATAGACTCCCCCCTTCGTGTGTCCCCCGCTTAGGCCTCGAATGTTTGGTCCATTCGGGAGCCCAACAAAGTCGGGGATGGGGGTTGCCATCCCCCCCGTTGTCCTCCTCTCGTTGCATACTCGGGGGGACCTTGTTGGTCCTGTAAGTTTGGAGGCCTGGGGACTGGCACCAACAGCAGGAAAGGGGGGGTGTCTCCACCTGGGGAAGATGATCGTGGATTCAGGGGCTGGTGGTAATGTTTGGGCCACCTAAGACGCCTGACCTTAAGGCCCTGGAAACGACAGGGCCGTTTTTTTACCGGTTCCGTTTTGCCGTTTTTTTGGCCGGTTCCGACGCCGTTGTTTTACCGGTTCCGTCGCCGTTTTTTGACCGGTTCCGGCTCCGGTTCCAGTTGCCGTTTTTTGGCCGTTTCCATTTTCAAGGGACATTTTTTTTGGAAACGGTGAAAAAACCGCCCTGCCGTTTCCGGGGCCCACAAAGCGCCCCTGATGGTCCGCTACCGAAAATTTCCGGTAGCTCTCCGCAGAGATCGGTCGCTACCGAAATACCGAAATGTAGCGCCCAATACCGGTATCAGAGCGTTCTGAAATCCGCTATTTCAACGCCCTCAAACGAAGATCCGGTCGCTACCGAAATTCGGGGTGCGTCGAAATCGCTACCGAAAATTTCCGGTACCAGACCATCTGGGGCCTGACTATTTCCGCCATCTCCAAGATCGGGATCATCCTCCCGCGGTGGAGGCAGTCGCCGATGCCGGTGTTCGTGCCAACCTCTGGGCCTCCCGGGCATCGCGGCCTCCTCTCGTTTTTCCGACGTGCATCCGCAGCATGGCCTCCTCGTCGTCGCCGTCCTCGTCCTCGCCGTCGTCATCCACGTGCACTGGCGCGCCGGACACTCCAGGGCACTCCTCGTCGTCGTCGTCGTTTGTCGTCATCCTCCTCCTCGTCCTAGTCGTCGTCGTCCTCCTCCTCCTCCTCCTCGTCCTCCTCCTCCTCGTCCTCCTCCTCCTCCTCCTCCTCCTCCTCCTCCTCCTAGTCGTCCTCTCCTCTCCTCTCCCGTCCTCCTCGGCCTCTGGGGAGGTGCCCCCGCCGGCCTCCGGGAGTCCCCTGGCGGTCACCGCGGAGCCTTGCATGGAGCGACCGGAGGCCTCCGGGTGTTCATCCATGGCCGAAGGGCGCGCAGATTGCTCTGCTATCTTCGATTATCCTCCTCCTGCTCCTGCTCCTCCTCGTGCTCCTCTTCCTCCTCTTCCTCCTCCTCCTCCTCCTCGTGCTCCTCCTTCTCCTCTTCCTCGTGCTCCTCCTCCTCCTCCTCCTCCCCCTCCTCCTCCTCCTTCAGCTAAGCTCCGCGAGTGGCGTAGATGGTAAGTGGGTTACGTGTCGGCCTGGCCCCACAAAGAGGCCCAAGAGCCGTCCCGCGGGGCTCCGAGCGACATCGGTGAGCTGCGTCGCGCCACTCTTGGGAAGTCTCCCACACACACTCCTCCTCCATCTCCTCCAGCTCAGCTGCACCTTGACACGTTGGGCCAGTGCGCTGATGGTGGCACTCCGCCGGGCAGTGGCACGGACACGGGCGCGGAGACGGACGGGACCTACTCTCTCCTCTGCCCCCTCCTGAGAGTTGGTGGCGGCGATTACGAGGACTGTTTGGCGCTGGCTGGCGTATCGCTGTGGCGGCGCTGGCGCGCGCAAGCTCGCGCGCACAGCGACCAGCCAGTTTGGCGCAAGTGACGCGGCCACGGTGGCGCTGACCGCTGTGGATTTCCCATCGCGTCTCGCAGGCTGCGCTAACGCGCGTGCGCTTCATTGCGAGCCGGTGATTCGGGCGGGCGCGGTATCATGGCGACGTCTGCAACGGGAAGCACTCGGATGATAGTTTTCAGCGCTGATGACGGCAGGGCCAGTGACGGCGCCGATGTTGGTCACGCCGGTGACGATGATAGTGCCCATGCGTCGGGGATGAAGGTAGTGGAGTTCGACATGCGCGCGTGTCCGATTCGTGCGAATGGGCCACATGGTTTTATTTGACGGTTTCGAATATTTCCCAACCGTCCTGTGGTGTTGGGTCCTCGCTTTGAAGAAACAGCGTCCCGCGTTCCTTCCTTCCTTTTTTCCTCTCCTCCTCCCCCCCGCCTCCTCACGATCCTCCATCCTCCGTCCTCATCGTCATCATCACCATCATCATGTCCACGCGTCCGTGCCATCCACGTTGACACATCCCTCACACGTTTCGTGGCCCCATCAGGAGCTCCACCGAAGGCCCCAGTGGTACAGTTTACATGCGTCCCCGCCACCCATTTCGGCACACCTTACACGGCGCGTGATTCCATAAGTATAGCTCCACCGAACGCCCCAGTGGCACAGTTTACACGCGTCCCTGCTACCAATGTCGACACACCCCTCCCACAGTTTGTGGCCCCATAGGACGTTCCTTCGAAGGCACCCGTGGCGCAGTTTACATTGTCCCCGCCACCCATATCGGCACACCCCTCACACGGTTCGTGGCCCCATAGGGAGTTCCACTGAGAGCCCCAGTGGTAAAAATTACATGCGTTCCCGCCACCTATTACGGCACACTCGTCACGCGGCTCGTGGCCCCAGAGGCTGTTCACAGAAGGTACCAGTGGCACAGTTTACATGCGTCCCCGCCACCAATTCCGGCACACCTTCCACACGTTTCGTGGTTCCATAGGTAGTTCCACCGAATGCCCCAATGGCATAGTTACATGCATCCCCGCCATCCGGTGCGGCTCACGCGTCGCGCGGTTGGTTGCCCCGTAGCCCATAGGGAATTCCACCGAAAGCCCCTATAGGGAGCTCCACCGAATGCTCCAGTGGCTCTGTTTACACGCTTTTCCGCCGCCCATTTCGGCACACCTCGCACATTTTGTGGCCCCATTTGGAGTTCCACCGAAGGCCCCACTGGCACAGCTTACACGCGCCCACGCCACCCATTTCGGCACACCCGTCACACGCTTCGTGGCTCCATAGGGAGCTCCACCGAACGCCCCAGTGGCAGTTTACATTCGCCCCCGCCACCCAGTACGGCACACCCTTCACACGGTTCGTGGCTCCATAGGGAGATCCACCGAAGGCCCCAGCGGCACAGCTTACAGCTGCCCCCGCGGCCCAGGTCGGCACACCCTTCACACGCTTCGTTGCCCCAGAGGGAACTCCACCGACGACCGCCTGCCCGCACTGCCCCGCGCTACTTTTTTGCTGCGGCGCGCTGCCTACGAGAGTTAGTGGGAGTTTGCGCGCCCCCTCCTTCGTCTCATCTCCCTCGTGTTACTCGCAGCTACATAATGGTTGAGTCCCTCGTTAGGCAAAGTTTGATACGCGCGCGCGATCGGCCCGCGTGGCTTCATCTGACGAACATGTTGCCACACAGACTTCGGTTTCATCAGCATTTGCAGTCATGCGCGCCGGTTGAGTTGTTTAGGCTAGGAAACTAATGTTGAACCTGTGTTCGAGAACCCCACATTATTGGACACCCGTGTGGGACCCAGCGTTGCTGACGATTCCGCACTGCGCGCGCCACGCCGCGCGCGGGCGGACTTTGTCACTTTGTCCCAGAAGAGGTTTTTGTTGAATGTACCGCATTGTTGAACAAACGATCCGACGAAGGCATCTATACACCACCACCGTGCCAGGCCAGGGCCATCCTGGGCCGTAGGATGGTGTGTAGACCCTCCTGGCTCGGCCAGGAGGGCGCATGCACCATCCTGCGGCCCAGGATAGCCCTGGTGTATAGCACGGTGGTGGTGTATAGAATGCCTTCTGCGTAGACGAGTGCGCGCGCACGCCATCAATTGATCAGAGGGGGTGGAGTTCCTGAGTGCACCCTGTGGGATGGCACGAGCACGTGTCCGAAAGACGGGGCGGCAGCATCATATGTAGATTTGCAGTGTCCCGGGGGTGGGCGACGAGTCCCCCGGGGGAGAGGCAGATAACTATTCGGGTCTAGCCAGGCTTGGCATCGCTCGAACGTGTGCACTTTTTCTCGGCGGGGACCATCGAGGAGCATTTTGCTCACCTTGGGAAACACATGCACGCAGGAAACCGAAAAATGCACAGGGAATGGACGTCCGACCGATGGCGAGATTAGTGATTGGTCCCCGAAGCCCAAGATATTGATTGGAATCGCTAAACCAGGTTTGCCGTAGCCAATGCTTTTCGGGTTGCGGCAATTCCGGTTCGTGGACTGGGACGGGGGGGGGCGCCCCTGGGTACATCACTAAACCAGGTCCCACTAAACCCAGTTCTGCCAACGCCCGAATTATGTTGCGAAGGCCTTACGGCCGCTGCCGCCGACCCTGAAAAGGGACGTCGACGACGACGGCGGCGGCGACGACGAAGACGGTGACGTGGGCCCGAATCTTCAGGGATGTTTCTTGGGATCTCTTGGGAATGCTCTCGGGGGCCTCTGGGGAGGAA